ATATAAGATCGAAGAGATTCTAGAAATAAAATAGATAAGCGGAAGACCTTACTATCTAATAAAATAGAAGGAATATAATATCTCTAAGAATATATAAGAACCTATTAAGAACCTAAAAGGCTACATCTAGCTAGTTTAATAGTTCTATTAGAAAAATCGCTAACTAAAAAGGATAAATCTATCCTCTCTAAGATAGAAAGAGATAGAAGACTAAATATCTAGATTATAGTAGGATTCTCTAATATAGCGGTAAGGGCTTAAATATTATACTTATTAGCGAGATAATCTAGCTTAATAAGATCTTTAGTAGATAGAGGATCTTTAGTATCTAACTACTCTATTAACACGGAATTATAATCTAATATCCGATTATTCTAGGAATATAAAAATTAGCGCTATTTATATAAACGTATTATTTTTATTATTATATCTATTTACTATTTTTTAGCTTAGATAAGCTCTTTATTAATTTTCTACTATTTATATAATACCTTTTACTACTTAGTTTCGCTATAAAACCTTTTAGCGTACTTTCGATCCCGATAAGTATATTTAGTATAGTTATAATATTTAAGATCTATTATATAAGAGATACTATAGGAAAAGTAATATTTATAAAAGTATTTAGTAACTAAACTATATATTAGAATTAATCGATATTAAATAAATCTATTTTATTTATAAATCGCGTTATTAACTAGTATAGTATAAAAGGTATATAATTAAAAAATAAGAAAAATAGAAAAGAAAAATAACTAATATTATTTATCTAAAAGGTAGATAATAGCTTTAAAAGGCTTTAAAAACGAAATCTTAGAGAAAGAGAAGATAATATTATAGAACTACCTATTATTAATCGATAGTACCCTATTAGATATATAAATAAGCTATTAAAAATTAACTAATCTATCTATTAGTAGATTATATATAGTACCTAGTATTTTAGTATTCCTAAATATTTAAAAAAAAGAATATATTTATATTTAATAAATAGAAGTATAATTAAGCCTAATTAAGCTTACTATTAGAGGGATTCCGGTATATATATACTTTAGGGTATCGGATATTACCTATACTAGGAATTATTATATATAGAACTAGAGATATATAACTATAACTCTTATATCGACTTTAAGAAAGATATATAGGAGTATATAGTAACTCTAATAGTAACTCTAAAGAGTTATATTAAAAGTAGGAAATAAAGGATATATAAAGATATTTATTTATATATTTAGTTTAGTTCTTTATCTTTAATTATATATTATTATTTATATTTACCTTTTAGATTATTAGTAACTCTCTTATTTAATTATAATCTAATAATACTTATAAATAGACTAATACTCTAGTATATATCTATTTAGCGCTCTACCTAGTACCGTTCCTCGATACCTTAAAAGGACCTAGTCTATAGTAAGGCCTATTAGATAATAGTACGGTTAAGAGCACAGATCGTTAATATTAGAAACCTAAGCGGTATAAGACAAGTATACCCGGAACCCTTCTAACCTAACTGTGACCAGTTGGCAGTGTGTTACGCATATAATACTAAGTACCTAATTATATATCTAGCTAATTACTAAGATATTTATATCCCCGCTTCCCCTACTACTCTAGTAATTTCTTATACCTAAAAAAGGGGTTAAGGCTATCAATACTTTTATATATTTATATAGTTATATAGTAATATATCGCTAGTTAAAATTTATAAAGAAAGGAGTTAAAAAGACGATTCGGCTAATTTATAACTATAGTTATAATAATCACTATTAAATCCTCTATAATCACTATTAGATCCTTTAGTAAAAAAGCGGAAGATAACTATCTATATATAGGAGTATCCCTTTAAAATAGCGCTTCGTTTAGACCTATAGACTAACGTTTAGTACTTTATATTTTAAGATCCTATATATATTTATCCCTATTTACCGGTATTAACCTACTCTATTTAGTAGGCTCTCGAGTTTAGCTAAAAAAAGAGTAAGATGGAAAATATAGTCTAGTAAAGCTATATAATATATTAAATTATAACTAAGCTATATAAAACTAATCCCGATATAATCCTTATCCTTTAGGATATCTATAATATCTATTAGAAGTTAAACTAGGAATTCCTCGCTAGCTATATACCCTTTTAGATATTATTAATAGAACTCTCTAAAGATAGTAGTTAGATCTTTAAATATAAGCTAGATAATAAGTCTTATATATCTAGATTATTTTATATATATAAAATAAGTATTATAATACTTCGAATAAATCTTTAGATTATCTCTATAGACTATATATATAAGACTAACTATTATAGTCTTCTATTACTTAATATTATTAGATTTACTACTACTAGAATAACTTTATATATTAGCTGTACTTTTAGGGGATTGTTAACCGCACCCCCCCTTTGGATCCTCGCACCCCCCCCCCCCCTGCCTGAAAATTCAGTCACCACCTTCCTAATCGGGTAATCTACTACCTCGACACCTATATCTACCTACTGCCTTCCTCACCGCCTTTAAGATTTTACACCGCCTTCGTATCAAACTACCCCCCTAACACTATAGGACGATAGTAGATACCTACAATTTGTATATAAACTTATAGTAAAAACAAGTTATTTTAGTCCTATATATATTATAGGACTCGAGTAGTAAACAATCTAATAATATAATTCTAGTTTATATATATTAACCTACCTTCTTCTAATCTATTTTTCTATCTATATCTATATTAAATCTATTAGTTCTAAACGTTTTTTTATTATCCTAGCTATCGAAATAGCTTCTCTAGGCCTATTATACCTCGAATTGTCCGATTCGAACCCTAAATCGGACCCTAAGATTATCCCTAAGTCTCTACCTATAATATTAAGTACCTAATTATATATATAGCTAATCACCGAGTCTCTATCTCTATCTATAATACTAAATACTTAGTTATATATTTAGCTAATTATAAAGCTAGTTACCGAGACTTCTCCTACTAAACTAAGTACCGAGCTAGGCGCGGCGCCGGGCTTATTTACTTTACCGCTTCCCCCTTTAGACTAATAGTTCGAGTCTAAAGAGGCTAGATATACTATATTTAATAACTTCGCCTATTAGTATAGCTATATACTAGTCTCTATATATTTAAAACGGATAAAGAAAGGGGTTAAAAAAGACCGTTTAGCTTTATTATAACTAGTATAACGCGCTACTACCTAATCCGAATAATTCTATTCACTATTCGAATAATTCTATTCGCTATCTAAATAATTCTATCTAATAGAAGTCTATAATATTTCATAATAAATACCTATTCGCTATTTCCCTATAGCTTTAGCTTAATACCTAACTTTAGTATATTATAGTAGAGAATTTATCTTATAATTATAGTCTATCCTTTATATTAACCCACCCTATCTACTATCGGAACGAGCTAGTCTAAAAGCGTAAGCTTATCTAATAGTAGCTTAAATAAGGTATTAGGGCTTTTTAGGTACTTATAGGGATTCGAGAGAGTGACTTAAACACCTCCCTAATATACTATACTCTTTATAATTTCCGAAGGAAGCTTAATATAGAATTTCTTACCGGTCGTACCCCTCTTTAGACGCTCTTAATAGAACTTCTATAGGATAATAATTAGGTTTTTAAATACAATATTAATAATAAGAACTATATAATAGCTTTATTTTATATTTATAAAACGGGTCTTACTATACTAAAGTCAAATCCCTAAGTGATTTCTATACATTATATCTATAAGACTAATAGGTATAGACTCCCCTTTCTTAATATTATTAGCTTTGCTTTAATTAGATCGACCTTTTATATTATATTTATATTTATAAAGGATAAGTATAATAACTCCTATAAGCTTGTCCTTTAATATCTCGCTAACATTTATAACTCGCTTAACTTTATATAATTTTTATAGATAAAGAAGATACCTTAATAAAAGTAATTACGTCTATCTTTCTAGATATAAAAGGTATACTCTATCTCTAATATATTAATTATAATATTATAAAGAAGGCCTATCTACTCCTTTCTAATTAGATTATATAAACTCGATAAGATACCTAATAGAATATCTAATAGGATACTTAATAGTAGTACTAAACTAAAAAAGAAATCCGGTAAAAAATCGAAGAAGGCTAGTAGTATATACTTTAATATTAGTATCGAATTATCTATACTATAACTTTTAAAGAGATAAACTAGTATTAATAATACTTTTAGAAGAAGTATAATAATCCTATCTTTAAACCTCTTTTTAAATATATCTAAAAGAAATAGCTAGATAACTACCCTAATCGATTCTTATATTACTATATATCTTAATATCTTTATCTTAATAAGATTACTACTTCCTATACTAAATTAGTATATTAGCTTTTAAAGTAGGACCTATAGATATTAACTAATAACCTACTTATTAACCTTTAAAGTTTTAAGTGTATAGTTAATAAGCGATATATAATAATTTAGTATAAGATTAAAACTAGTAAGATTAAAAAACTATAGAATATTAAATCTCTTTATAAGCTACTTATTAGATAGATTTCCTCGAAGGGAATAAAGCTTATATAATAGATATATTCCTAGTATCTTCTAGAAGGAGATACTAAACCGCCGATTCCTATATTATATAACTATAACTTAAAGAATATAGCCGGTTTCCTTTATATATATATTATTAAGTAGTATAAAGATAAAGGAAAGAGTCTCGAACCCTTACTATTCTACTAATAATAGTATTTATAGGGTAAAGATATACCCCTAATTAACCTTATACTATTCCTCTAAGATCCGTATCGGGTTCGACGCCGAGGGCGGCTAGCTAATATACGTAACTTTATCTAAAGCACTACCTAGTAGAGCACTACCTAGTAGAGCACTACCTAGTAGAGCACTACCTAGCAGAGCACTACCTAGTAAGCGTAGTCTTCGCCTAAACCTCTTATATAGGATCGATCTATATAGAGAGACCCTTTAGGCTTTAAGTATATATTATTATAGGAAGGAAGACGAGGATAAGGACGAGGATAAGGACGAGGACGAGGACGGGGTCGAGACGGGGTCGAGGACGGGGTCGAGGACGGGGTCGAGGACGGGGTCGAGGACGGGGTCGAGGACGGGGTCGAGGACGGGGTCGAGGCTGGGGATAGGGATCTAATATAATTATCACTGAGAGTGTTAATAGTGATACTAAGACCGGAGCAAGTGGAAGGGGACGTGGAAGGGGCCAAAAACGCGCGCGTCGAGGGTAAAAAAAGGATGCATATTAATATATCGAGTATAGTAATACTTAATTTAATAGAAATGTGCGATTTTTTTCTCATCAAAATGCATGTTTTTTTACTATGTAAACCGGAATTCCTATAGTGGTAGCAGAATTATATGGTAGAAAACTCTGCACTAGCAGTATATATGGCATAATCCAGTATCGCACCCGATTAGGAAGGTGGTGACTGAATTTTCAGGCAGGGGGGGTGCGAGGATCCAAAGGGGGGTGTGAGGATCCATAGGGGGGTGCGGTTAACAATCCCCTACTTTTATATAAGATAAAAAGGATAATTTATATAAAGTAAATATAGCTTTATAGGTCCTAATACTATCCCCTCTCTACTATCTAATACTAATACCTTATAAGATTACTAGATAATACTTACCTACTTTACCGAAGCTTATAAATCTTTTAGCTTTATACCCTTATATATATTCCTTACTAATAAAAAAGGAGTTTTAATAAATACTATTAAGACTATTTTCCTAGATATAAAGAACATAATTTATATTCAATATATTAATATAAATATTTTTAAAAAAAAGCCCGCCCCTTTCTAACCGATTAAGTTATATAAATATATTAAGACTATCGAGAAGCCTTTAGATAGGACCCCTATATACGCTTTACTACTATTAAAGCCTAAAAAGACTATAAAAAAGCTTAAATACTCTATTAGTAGAACTATATTATATATACTCTTATAATTAAAGAAAAAGACCGATAATAGATTATTTTTAAAAAGCGATATATAGATCCCTTATTTACTCTATTACTAAACTATATATAAAAGGAATAGATAGATAACTATCTAAAGAGATTTCTTTATTATTATATATTATAGTATCTTTACTTTAATAAGACTATTATATCTTATATAGAAAGTCTATATTAGCTACTTAAGTAAGGTCTCTAGGTTTCGAATAATAACTTATTTATAGTCTTTACTAATTTTACCTAGTTAATCGAGCTTTAATTCGCTAAAGTATAATATAGGATTAAAAACTAAAAGACCCTTCGATTAATATTTATTCTACTACTTTATAAGCTACTTTATACCTAGATCTTAATATAGGTAATCTAGCTTATAATAGATATTTATAGATAGTATCTATCTAAAAGAGAAGAAGATAAGCTATAAATTCTCTCTTTATATATTTATAATTCGAAAGAAGCTACTAGATTCCTCTATATATATATACTCCGATAGTACGAATAGGATAAGAGATCTTTTAAATTAGACTTTTACTACTAATATTAGTATCTATATAGTATTACTAACGCCCCTTCTATTAATCTATTACTATTACTTTAACATCCCCTCTAGATTCGATAATAAGGATATCTATAGGGAGCTAGAAATTTTAGTATATAGGCTAGTAATATCTAGACTAGTAGTACCTAAACTAGTAGTATTTAAGCTAGTAGTATTTAGGCTAATAGTATCTAATAACTATAGTCTTCCCTAGATCTATTAATCTAAGATCGTTCTATATACCAAGATCTTTTATTATAGAAAGAGAGCCGAGGATAGAGATTAGGCCGAGGATAAAGACGGCTATAAGGATAGGGAAAGGGATATAGAATAAGTAGGGGTAAAACTAATAGTAGTAATACCGAGACTAGAGAATAGGGATATAGTCGAGGACGTAGTTAAAGATATAGTCGAGGATATAGAAACCGCGTGTAAGGACCTACGTAAGAAGTATATTTAACCTATATAAGTATATAAATGCTTAAATCAATAAAAATATACGATTTTTTCTAATTAAAATATATACTTAATTACATAAACTAGAATTCATATAGTGGTGGTAGAAAAAATAGCAGAAAACTCTGTACCGGCAGAATGTATGGTAGAATCTAGGGTCGCACCCGATTAGGAAGGCGGTACTGAAATTTCAGACAGGGGGGGGTCCCTATATTTTTAAATATTATTAATAGAATTACTAAAGGATAGTAGCTAGATCTTTAAATATAAGCTAGATAATAAGTCTTATATATCTAACTTATTTTATATATATAAAATAAACGTTATAATACTTGTAAAGGATAAAGGTCCTTTCAATTGTGAAACGGGATCAGCTGACATAGATGTGTCAGATGTGACATGGCCGAAGCGAGCGGGGTTCGTCATGTGATCGGCCCTGTATCTTGGCATACTATTTTCCTAAAATCCCAAGGCCCCCCGGGCCCCCCCCTGAATTCTGATAAGAATTAGTCTTGGCACATAGAGACAATACATTGATCCCCTCCCACAGCCATTGTATCTTACCCGGTTGACAGGCCATACACCTGCAGACTGTATATCTTTACAATACTTTAAATAAATCCTTAGGTTATCTCTATAAACTATATATATAAGTCTAACTAGTATAGATTTCTATTATTTAATATTATAGATTTTATAGCTATTAGAATAATCTTCTATATTAGCTTTACTTTTATATAAGATAAATATAGCTCTAATAATCCTAATACTATCTAATACTAATATTTTATAGAATTACTAGGTAATACTTACCTACCTTACTAAAGTCTATAAATCTTTTGGTTTTATACCCCTATATATAATCCTTATTAATAAAGAGTAAATATTAATAAATATAATTAATATGACGATCTAAGGAGGTTTCTGCCAAAGGTTTCCGCTTTAGTTATTATTTGTATATGATAGGACCCTACGTATAAAGGATCTCTAATCTTAAGGATCCTTTCTTTCTTTTCTTTTACTTCTTTATACTTAGTATTCTTATTAAATACACTCTTTTTAATTGAAGATCTAGCTAGTAATATAATACTAAGTACTACTTTTATTTCTTTACTAGTATATCTATATAGACTATTATTATAATTAGTCTTAGTCCTATTACCTCTCTACTTTTATTCTTTAGTATTATATAGCTAAAATCTCAATCCTAATTCTAAACTAAAGACTTTAACTAATTAAAATAGCCGGATCGAAAAAAAACCTATTAATAAACTAAAGTAAGTAGCTTACTATTATATCTAAAAATAATAAAAGTTATAAATAAAAGATAGTCGCTACTTTTAATCTAAATATTTTAACCTTTAATCTATAGAGACTAGTTAATACTAGTAAATATAATAAAGAAGATAAATCCTTAATCTATAAATATCTATACTAGACCCTAAATAAAGAGTGGTTCTATAAACTCGCTTATAATTATAAGAAATTAAAAGATAAAATCTAGTAATTTAAAGATAAAGTAACTATCTTCTAGACTAAAAAAATTAAAACTAATATTTTAATTAAAATATTTATTTAGGAGTATAATAAAGCTAGGGGATTGATAGAGGGACACCCCCCTGCCTAAAAAATCAGTCACCGCCTTCCTAATCGGGTAATATATAACCTCGATACCTATATCTGCCTACCGCCTCCCTCACCGCCTTCGAGATTTTATACCGCTTTAGTCGTAAACTCCCCTATTTATATTAGGACGATAGTAGATACCTACAATTTATATATAAATACCTAGTAAAAATAAGTTATTTTAGTCTTATCTATATTATAGGACTTAAATAGTAAATAAACTAATAATATAATTTTTATTTATATATATTAACCTACCTTCTTCTAATCTATTTTTTTATTAGTATCTATATTAAATTTATTATTATCTTTATTATTTTAGCTATTAAAATAGCCTTTTTAGGCTTATTATACCTCGAATTATCGGATTCGGAACCCTAAATCGGACCTTAAGATTATCCCTAAGTCTCTATCTATAATACTAAATACCTAGTTATATACCTAGCTAATTACTAAGACGTCTATTAGCGAGATATCTATAGAGCTACTTTTTACATTTCCGCTACCTTTATTAAACTAGTAATACTATATATTAGAGGAAGGTACTAAAATAGTAAATATATTTATATATCTATATAATTATATAGTTACTATCTGATACTCTAAATATACTAAAAAGGGTATTAAAAAGTTAGTATTCCTTTACTATAATTATAGCTATAAAGTAAAGTAGGATAAGACTAAATAGGATACTAAAGTAACTATTATTAAAAAGCGATATATTATAATATAAGCCTTTAGATATCCTTTTATAGTAGTACTTTATCTAGATCTTATAATAAGTCTTTAGTATCTAATAATCGACAATTCGAAGTCTAAATATAATTATCTCTTATCGCTAGGGTCTACCTATCTAGTCTAATAAAAGTTTAAGCTTATTTATAAAAAGATAGAGGTTAAGAATACGCTTTAGTAAGGTTATATAACCTATTAGATTCTAAATAAACTCTATAAAGCTAACCCTAAAAGTATTATTATTCCTTATAATATCTATAATACCCGGAGGAAGCTAAACGATATTTTTTTTACTAGCTATATACCCTTTTAAGCGTTATTAATAGAACTACCGAAGGATAGTAGCTAGATCTTTAAATATAAGCTAGATAATAAGTCTTATATATCTAGCTTATTTTATATATATAAAATAAGCGTTATAATACTTTAAATAAATCCTTAGATTATCTCTATAGACTATATATATAAAACTAACTAGTATAAACTTCTATTATTTAATATTATAGGTTTTATAGCTACCGGAATAACCTTCTATATTAGCTTTACCTTTATATAAAATAAAAAGGATAATTTATATAAGGTAAATATAGCCCTAATAATCCTAATACTATCTAATACTAATACTTTATAGGATTATTAGATAATACTTACCTACCTTATTAAAGTCTATAAATCTTTTAGTCTTATACTTTTATATATAATCCTTACTAATAAAGAGTAAGTATTAATAAATATAATTAAAACTATTTTTCTAGATATAAAGAGTATAATTTATATTTAGTATATTAATATAAATATCTTAAAGAAAGCCCGCCCCTTTCTTACTAATTAAGTTATATAAATATATTATAAAACCTTTAAAAATAACCTTTATTATTTTACTTTTACTAAAATTTAGGAAGACTATAAAAAAGCTAAAGAAAG